ATCTAGATGTGTTGGAAGAAAACTTAGACATTAACTTAGGGTCCTCTTTGTAGAATAAGAAAAAAATCATCTCCCTTGGGAAAGTTCTCTACTGTGTATGGGGCTAGAAGGGAAATAGAGCCAAGAACACATGCCACAGGACCCTCAGACCACAAGCAATGACCAGAATAAATGGCCAACACTATTGGAGATATTAATACTCAGGGACCTCTTGGATGTCCAGGAATCAGTGACGGTGAACTGGGACTGTTCCAATACTCCATTGGCTATTTGAAGAAAATAGTATATTCTGACATATATCCTGATTCTTGATTTTTTAAGCAATAATTTTCTTTTTTAAATACCTAATTTTTATTCCCAGTCTTTCCTATCAAAGAGATATCAATCAAACAAGCAAAAGATATGAAAATTAGGCCAGGGATATAGCTCAGGATAGAATTCTTGCCTAGTATTCATGAGGTCTTGAGTTCTATTGCCCCATTGCCCCATCCTTCTTCCTACCATATGACACATGAAAATCAAGAAATATTAAATCATTAAAACATTCTCAGTTTTTTTTTTTTTTTTTTGCGAGGTGGTGGTACATGTCTTTAATCCCAGCACTCAGAAGCAAGTGTATCTCTGTGAGTTCAAGGCCAGCCTGGTCTATAGAGTGATTTCAGGACAGCCAGGGCTACACAGAGAAACCCTGTCTCAGAAAAATAAAATAAAATAGATCTCAGTATCTGGCAGGGCATGGATATGCTGTTTGGCAGGTGGCTGCAGAGGAGAATGGGCAAGAAGAAACTGAAGACTCTTTAGGACACTCTCTGGGTTACACACCTAGAGAGGGGTGGACAGGTAAGTTCTGCTTGCACAGGGGAGTTTCCAGTGTTTGTCTCTTTGTTCTGGGTCAGAGTGGCTTCCCAAGACCTTCAGCCTTCACTTGTCACCACCTAGTAAGTGCGTCTTCTTTTTCCTGATGAAGATTTAAGTGACCAACAAGGGAGAGTAAAGTTGGTGGGGTGAAGAGGTATGTTTCAGAAATGGAAACGTTTCTTCAACCCCTTAAGTTAGCCGCCAAATTGCTGCCACTCCGTGCCCAACTGGAGCAGATAATCTACTTGTAGCCAATAAGTAGCTCTGGAATCTTCATAATTGTGAGCAGGCACTGGCCTCCTGGGTGTGGCACGTCCTGCACTGGTGCCGCCGCACCTGTTCCCATTTGATGGACATGTTACTTGCACAAAGTAGGGGGCCCCCAGCTAAGAACAGTCACCAATATTGACCCCATACACTTTGACTGAGGGTGACTTGCATTCTTATTGTGCTTGTATGGTAGTGTTCTAATTGACACAATGTTATAATTTTAGATTACTGGGCAAATCTGTAAAGGTTTAACCCATTTCTTTTCTCTTTTCACCTTTGAACTTCTTTGTATTGCTTTCTCTTGTCCTCCCTCCCTCCCTCTGTCCTTCACTCTCCAACCCCTCTTTTCTTGATCAGAATGTGAGAAAGAGGCCATGAGCTCCACCCCAAGCTGGGTCTGCAGTGACACAATGGGTTCTATTTTCATCTTTCTTCTTCAGTCACACGTGGGCTGCCAAGGACAGGCCCTTTCTGAGTGTCTGGCTGGCTGCTGAGACATTCTCTTTAGGGAAACAGGGTCAGGAAGAAGACCATGGAATCAGTTCTCCCTCCATCCTACTCTCTGTTTCTTTGCCCCATTCAGACATGAACTGTGCACTTGCTTGGTGCCAGACCTAAGAGAGGCCCTAGTGAAGCTCTGGCGTTCAACAACGAAAGCATGACTTTCTCTTGAGGCTCTGCCTTCTGTGTCTGCAGGCAAGTTCAGCTCTCCATTTTCATGGTGAAATAGGAGGAAACTGAGTCAGATGGTTTCTGGGGAACCTTTATTTTAATGGCTATAATAGTTAAGTGACTTTTTTAAAACTTTTTTTTAAAAAATTTATTTATTTATTTATTTATTTATTATGTATACAATATTCTGTCTGTGTGTATGTCTGCAGGTCAGAAGAGGGCACCAGACGTCATTAAGGATGGTTGTGAGCCACCATGTGGTTTGCTGGGAATTGAACTCAGTACCTTTGGAAGAGCAGGCACTGCTCTTAACCACTGAGCCATCTCTCCAGCCCCTGATGTTTTAGTGTTTTACTCCATCCTGGACAATTTCTCTTTACACATTAACATTTATATAGACTTTCCTATTAGCCAGTATGTGTTCTAAAATTATGAAGGTACTTAAATATAAAGGCACATTTTGGTATACTTATAGTATGAAATACTATGTGTATTCACTGAGAATGTTGCTTATAAAAGCTTTTCCTGCCAAGTGGTGGTGGCATATGCCTTTAATCCCAGCATTCAGGAGGGAGAGACAGGTGGATCTCTGTGAGTTCAAGGCCAGTCTGATCTACAGAGAGAGTTCTAGGACAGGCTCCAAAGCTACAGAGAAACTCTGTCTCAAGCCCCCCCCCCCAAAAAAAAAACCCTTTTCCTGGTCTGAAAGTACATGTGCACTGTGATAGCAGGGACAGATACAGGTAGGAAGGAGGTGCAGCACCAGGTGGTAAGTGGTCTGTTAACAACAAGTTTTCATATTGGTACCCTTGACTATGGGATTGCACATGTTTAATTTTGTGGGAATTGATCGCAGAGTCTCAGACATGCTAACTACATACCCTACCACTAACCTATAACCTCAGTCTACAAATGTCTACATTTTCTACTTTGTTACTTTCATTTTTCAAAATAATACCACAGGGTCAGAAAGATGGCTCAGAGGACAAACATGCTTGCTCTCCTGAGTGTGACCCCTGGACCCCACAGTGGAAAGAGAAAACCAACTTCCAAAAGAGTTCTTCTTTGACTCCAGCACATGTTCTGTTTCTCTCTCTCTCTCTCTCTCTCTCTCTCTCTCTCTCTCTCTCTCACACACACACACACACTCCACAATCATGTTTTTTCTATAATTAAAAAGGAATGTTATTTTTAAGTATATAAAAGTGACTGTTACTCCAAAAATTTTCATTTGCATTTTAGAAGATTCCCTGGAAGTTTGTGTAAATTTTGACAGACATTGTCAATATGTGCAGAATTCATTAGTTACATTTTTAAAACTTTGAATTCATTAAATTTTATGTTTTTGAATATAATAAAAAGAAAATCTTTAAGTAAATTTTGTGTGACGAAGCTAAGAGTGAAAAATCAAAATCATAATCTACGTTGTTTTCCAGATCTGCCTGTAACGTGACTCCCACCCCAGATTAGAAGCCTATAAAATTGATCAGATTCTAGTATCTGTCTGAAGAATGACAATCTTAAAATACACAGAAACCCCCTGAGTTCTGAGAGGAGGGAGGGAAGGCAGACCATAGAGAGGTTATTCTGGATAAAGCTCTTAGATGATGCTCACTCAGAATAGGTGCTATATGATGTGTTTGCTGAAACATGACTTGGGATATCAGATCACAACCCAAGGGCTGCTGTGAATGCAAAAGGGTGAAAGTAAACCACCTACAAAAGAAGGCACACCCTCCATGAATGGAAGAGAAAAGCCAGGAGGAATAGCAGATCGGGTTACTTGGACCTATGGAAGCTCATCCACTCCCCCACAGTGGAGGAGGAGGAAAGAAAACAGAGTGACCGGAGCTGAGTTGTCAAGAAAGGATCCCTTCCTTCTTTTGCTTATTTCCAAATGGCCATTACATAGCTTGGCAGATTGCACTGAGGCCTCCTGAAGCTGTGGACAACACTCCTTACATGTCAGCCAAAGCCAGGGAGATAGGCGAAAACCTACTGTTAGTTTGCCTGGCTCCTGAAAGGAGCCAAACTAACAAACTCGTAAGGGAAGATTTCATACGCAGCCATGCTATTCAAAGTGTGACTGGGTGATAGCATCCGGGAGGCTAGGGCTCCCTAGACTACAGTGGGGAGATCTGCATTTTAGAAGATTCCCTGGAAATTTGTATAAATTTGACAGACACTGTCTATTGGTGTGGAATCCATAAGCTACATTTTCAGAACTTTGAATTCATTAAATTTTCTGTTTTCAAATATAACGAGTAATAATTTTTTTAATGTGGCAAAAAGATTAATCCTCCATCTAAAATTTGTGTCTTTCCCCCAGATAAGATAACCAATAGGAAACTGACACTTAAAATTTTCTTTTTAAACCTGATTTGTGACAGGCAATGGTGATCTATGCCTTTAATCCCAGCACTCAAGAGGCAGAGGCCTGGTAGTTCAAGGCCAGCCTGGCCCACAGAGCAAATGCCAGGACAGTCACGGCTACACAGAGAAAGTCTGTCTTAAAAAAAACAAAACCCAACCAGCCAAACAAATAAAAACCTGGCTTATAGGAAAACCATCATTGCCTTAGCTATCCCAATTTCCTAAATTCTTTATAGCTTTTTAGAATTCTTGGCAAATTTTATTTTCACGAAGAGATATATTTAACACAGATTTGTAAAATTTTTGCTTTCTACCATTTCCATGTTCTAGAGGGAAATGTTTCCTTGTATTTGATCTCTAAGCTCTTGGAAATAATTTTAACTTGGGTTCTTGTTGCTGATGTGGAAAGTAGTGTTCTGGTGTCTGCGTTGAAAATGCACTGGCAACCTACTAAATGTTTGAGAATTCACACTGAGAAATGACCTGACTGGGCACAGGAAGAATTCAAGTGGTGTCGAGCCAGCATCCCGACAGACTTGAGACTTTCCTAAGCAGTGAACGACCAGATGGCAGTCCCACGCATGACATCACAAACTTACGCCATCTGGCAAGCACACACATCAATTTAGCCTTGGCCTCCAAGGGCAAAAGGTCTGGGAGAAAGCTTACAGATAAATTATATATTCCTTCAAGTGTTTTTTTTTTAAATTATTTTTATTACTAAAGAATCTTTTAAATGTCTTCTAAACATTTGGACTAAGTGAGAGAAAGGGATGAAGGGTTCTAATGCTGGAACTGAACAGGAACTCAGAAAAGCTCATTCTCACCTGATTGTCGGACCCGTTGGAGAGTTTGCTGGACCAGAACTTCTGACCGTGGGACGATGATGATGAAGTCCACTTTGCTAAAGTGGCCCAGGTCCAGGCTCTGGCTGCCGCTGTCTGCAATTGCACACACTTGGGACAAGAGTCTTCTGGCAACTGTGAGCTGTGGTTGATAAATTTGGAAGGTTTCGTTATCTACATCTAAAATTAAAAAAAGTTATAAGAACAATATTAATTTAGTTCTTTGACAGGCATTATGAATCCATATGGAGACATAAAACACAATGAAAAAGCGATGTCTTTCGGATGAACCTCTATGAATTTACCCATGTCCCCCGAAAACCTGACTGAGAGGCTATGCTACAGAACTGCATACAACAGTTTTACAAATGAATTATTTAAAAGCTGTCCTTTCCCTAAAAGTAGAGAAAGGCCACAGTGTCACAGCTGGACCAGGACTTGGCTGTAGAAAGGCCATATTTAGGCTTTTAGGATTCTCAGCACTGTCCAGTGCTCAAGCCCAGGCTGCCCAGGGAGGGAGGCAATGCTGCAGTTCTAACACTGCAGGTTCCTTTAAGTTTCTCTGGATGATAGCACAGTAATCATTTCTTCTTTAGCAAGCCAGCTACAACATGGCCTGGAACACCCTCTCTGTGACTAGATAACACGGCCAGAGACATAACCTTCACCTTTCTTCCTTTTCGGCTTGGCTTTGTTAGCACTTGTGACCTGGCAGGGCTGACGCCAGGACTATCCAGAGACCTGCCTTGTGACACAGCCAGCTGGGCTGTCAATAGTGAGGTACTGTACTGTCCAGATACTCTATTAATGACAGAAGCTCTTTATTACAAGTTTTTACCAAGCCACCAATCCCTGTGCACATCCCCCCTCTCCACAGAAAACAAAAGATCCAAATATAGTGAACAAAATGCCTGCCATGCCTTCTTGAAAACGTTGCTCCTTGTCGGGGACACATTCTGGCAGTTTAACTGAAGTGAAATCACAAGGGCCTAATTAACCAGTGCTACGTAGTTATCTAAACTGAGGTATAGCTGAGGCAGTCAGGACTCAAAATAGCCTAGGTACGCTGGACACTGACTGCAAGTCTCTGCTTGCTGACAGAATGAACAGACGGACAGAGCTTAATGTTGTGTTTGAGTGGCAGAGCTGGGAGAGTAGCTTGGTGGTAGGGCACACCTGTAGGTGTGTAAGGTGGTAGGGCACACCTGTAGGTGTGTAAGGTGGTTGGGCACACCTGTAGGTGTGTAAGGTGGTAGGGCATACCTGTAGGTGTGTAAGGTGGTAGGGCACACCTGTAGATGTGTAAGGTGGTAGGGCACACCTGTAGGTGTGTAAGGTGGTAGGGCACACCTGTAGATGCGTAAGGCCCTGAGCTTGATTCCCAGCATTAGAAAAGAAGAAGTAATACGAGAACAAATAATTTTGTTAGATGAATGTTTTGACTGCATGTATGACTGTGCATGTCTAGTGCGCAAGGAGGCCAGAGGAGCACACTGGGCCCCCTGGAACTGCTGTTACAGACATGTTAACATAGCTATATGGGCACTGGGAATTGGACTGGGATCCTCTAGCCATCTCTCTCGCCCCTATATAGTTGTTTTTTATTTTTACCCTCAAAGACCACCATTGAAGGGGCTGAGGAGATGGCTCAGTGGTTAAGAGCAAACATTGTTCTTGCAGAGCATTGGAGTTTGTTTCCCAGCACCCACATCTCACAACCTTGGGGAAGTCTCTTCTGATGTCTGTGTGCACCCAAACATAGCTGGCTTACATTCACACAAACACACAAATTAAAAATAAAAAATAGTTCCAATGAAACAAACCTGCCTTCCAACATCAACAAGTTATCACCCCGCAGCTCACAGGATGCTGGAAACCAAGTGCATACACAGACTTGTATATATAATTTAACTTAGCAGACTATGAAGTTTGATGAAATACAAAACATTTATCCATTTTTGTAAATTTTTTATTATAAGTTTTAGTATTTGAGCATGTGTGTCTGTGTGCCACAGCCGTGCATGTGAAGGTCATAGGGCACTTGTAGGAGTTGATTTTCTCCTTCTACTATGTGAACCCTGGGGTTTGAACTCACTCATCAGTCTTGGTGGCAATTACCTGTACCCATGGAGCCATCTTGCTGACTTCAAGCAACATTTCTTTTTGTTTCTTTATTTAATTATTTTATTTATTTATTTTGAGACAGGGTTTCACTATGTAGCCCTTGCTGTCCTGAAACTTACTATGAAGTAGACTAGAACTGGACTTGAACTCACAGAGATCCACCTGCCTCTGCCTCCTTAAGTGCTGGGATTAAAGGTGTGTGCCACCATGCCTGGCTGATATTTCTTTCAAAATGTAAAAAAATATTTTTTAAAAATGTGTATAGTGTTTTGGTTGCATGTATGTACCTAGTTCCCCCAGAGGCCAGAGGAGGTGTTGGATCCCCTGGGATGAGAGTTATAGATGGTTATGAGCTGCCGTGTAGGTGCTGGAATGAAACCTAGGTCCTCTTGAAGTGCTCTTAACAGCTTAGCTATCTCTCCAGTCCCTTTACACAACATTTCTTAAACAGGGAACCAAGGATATACTTGGAGATCTTTATGCATTCTGGGAATTAAGAAATATTTATTTATTTTATTTATCATTACATGTGTATGCATAATGTGTGTGGTGTGTGGGAGTGCATATGTGGAGATCAAAGGACTTGGTTCTCTTTTTCCACCTTTATGTGGGTTCTGGGCATCTAACTCAGGTCACTGGCTTGGGGTGTAAACAGCCTTTACTTGCTGAGCAAATTCTAAACTTATTAACAATTCAAAACAGCTACTATAAACCCATTTTATTGCCCCAAAGTCAAGACACTTTATGGCCCATACTCATTTTTACTTTTACAAGCCCTATTGCTACCTTCATTGCCTGAATGATCTTCTATATAAAATGATGCATTCCTATCCAGAGGAGGCCAAATGGTCACCATTAGCAGCTTATATGTAGAAGGGGTATGTTCCTTTTCTCTTTGTTTTCCTATTCTATCTGATGATATCCCTATAATCAATGAACTGGGGAAGAAGTTTTTAATACCAAGGAACACAATCTAATAATCTGCTTCCTTCTCCCTGGCCTGCTGCCCACCACTGGGGTCCGTGCAGATGATGGGAAGTGACATTGTTCTGTCTGCCTGGAAGGCCTCATACTCCCTGAGACTGCAGAGTTCTGCAAGCCAGGGAGTAAGGGAAAAGTGAGACAGAGTCCTGCATAGCCTACATCTACATGATGAGTTTTGGGCCATTTCAGACTAATAAAATCCTCTCTCTCTCTCTCTCTCTCTCTCTCATCTATCTATCTATCTATCTACCTATCTATCTATCTATCTATCTAAAACTGAGGATTCCTAGAATCATTCTACACAAAAATAGGAACTTCATCTGAGTTCAAGGCCAGTTTGATCTACAGAGCAAGTTCCAGGACAGCCAGGGCTACACAGAGAAACCCTGTCTTGAAAAACCAAAAAAAATAAATAAGGCTATACAATATGCAGACACATAAAATAAATAAATTAAAGATATCAACTTTAAGACCAGTCTGTGCAGAACAGGAATCTCTCAGGGAAAGACTCTAAGGAGAAGGCACACAGCAAGCGTCTCAGTCTGCACTCAGTTTATCATGTAGACAGCAATGAGAGCCTTTGGACTGAGGGCTCCTCAAAGCCCTGAGCTGTCTGCCTGTTTGATATTAGGTTCTACAGTATGTGTCCCAAGGGCTGATTCCTTCCTTCGGCCTCAGGCCACATTACCCAGATTTTGTGTGGGGATCATAGCAGCAGCCTCCTGAGGTGACACACACTCGTTAAGGTCACCATTGAAAGGGGTGACCACACTGTCTCCTCTTCTTTGTTGCATTTTTTCTAGCAGCTTGTCCAGGTCATCGCCTATGTCAAAATACAGTGGATTTAAGAAGGTTATAATGAACAGCATGCCAAGTGGTTCTTATCAGTATCAGATGAGATGTCTGGGCTGGACTCTCGTCAAGATTTGTAAGATGGTCTGTAATTGTGGCAGAATTCCTGCCTGGCCATCTCTCTAGCAAGTGTGTCTCTATAGTAAGAGCCATTCTTAATGGCATTCACCCCTGTGAGCACATGCTTACAACCAACACACTTTCCATGCTGGCTCTCTTTTGGCTTGCATTGTGTACAAAAGCAGGCAAAAAGAGGCTCTGTCTCTACCTGACATATGAAAAAACTCAGATCCAGGGAGAGACAGAGAAAACAGTCCAAGGTCAGCAACAAGGCCACAGCTGAGCCAGGTTCTAATCCTAGCATACTTGTGCCTTCCTCTGGACCTCACGTGGTTTCCTGGGGTGGTCATCACCATGACAAACCACTCCAAATGAAAACTCAGCCACCAAGCTTAAGCCCCATCTTCATCCCCGACAGGTTAAGATTTAAATTCAGACAATCACGCAACTAGGGCTGGCAGGGAGGCCCAGTCTTACAACTACTTACCTAGTGAGGTGGTTCTGAAATGCGATGCCAGGAAACTGACCTTTCCTGTGATGAGCTCATAACTAATTTCTTTCAAAAATTCACTTGTGGTAAGCATGCTCTCTGCCAGAGCCCGGGACTGATGCTGACCTGAAGGACAGGAGAGCAGGGTGATGACTCATGCCTGGAGCTAATGCTTGCTGCAACTTTAGCTGTGATAGCTACAGAAATGACAGAAGTCTAGAGCTACAGGGACTTAGGGTCATGGTATGTCATTTTAAAGACTGTCTACAGCAACAACAACAATAAAATATTTGTAACTGATGCCAGGTAATTAAATGGAAATGACATGTTTTATGTTTGTAATTGTAAAAATGTATACATGCATATATTTAAACGCCAGAGAAGTCCAGGAAATGTAATAGTGTGTTTACGTGGTTGTTATAAGGAATGACCTAAAAAACAAGCTTGTGTGGAACTATTCTTAGAATTAAAAATATGAATGATCACACAGCCATGAAAAGCTTTCTAAAACCCTGACATAGAAGGGTGGGCAGACAGATTGGCCAGTGCACATTTGTGAGTGGGAATGGGATTTGATCTCTGGTAGGAAGTAGTGAGAGTCATTCAGTAAAGAGAAGAGAAATGACAGTCTGAGTGCTGATGGCTGGAGGGTCGTCCCTGGCAGAGTCAGCACAGTGCATAGCTGTCGTTTCTTTACTTCTTAGGGATTCCTGGAGGGTTCCTGGCAAATGTGACTGGCTGGCACTGGCAGTTGCAAAGTCTTTACAATTTATCTGGTGTGTGTGTGTGTGTGTGTGTGTGTGTGTGTCTGTCTGTCTGTCTGTCTGTGTTTGTATGTCACAAATGCATGCAGGATCCTGAAAATCAGAACAGGGTGCTGGATTCCCCAGAACTGGAATTACAGAGAGTTGTGAGCTGTCATGTGGGTGCTGGGAATTAAACCAGAGTCCTGTGCAAGAGAAGTCAGTGCTTTTAACTGCAGAGCCATCTCTCTAGCCCCAACACTTGCAAAACCTTTTAAGGACAGAAGTTACATGGGATGAGTGAATCTGCTTCAACAGTTAGCTTTTTCAAAGGTTTTTAAAATCTTTTAGATTGTCTCCAGAACCAGGTGCTGGGGCACCAGCCACACTGAGGGCTTTAACACCTGATCTGAGAAAGATAGGAAGTTAAAATTGGGAGGAGAAACCCAAGCCACAGTCATTAGCCAGAGAATAATTGTGTGGATGTTGGAATCATCCAATGGTTACTTTTCAAATACATATGTTAGAATGAACACATTAAACAGACAAAGTCCCAACCCGACTCACCTAATACAATCACACAAAATTCATTTCCTCTGATTTTCGATGCACAAATTGCTACGACATAATCCGGTAGTCTCTGATAGTGTTTGGTTTCACTGAGAAGCCTTAGTGTCTCTGAAATGCCCTCTGCCAGAGAGTTTTGGGTCACAATCACATGAACCATGTCTTGAGACACACTGGCAGCTAATCTAGCAAGCCAGGGGAGCTGTCCCGGTGACACGGGTGTCCACGGAGCACCCGTCTGCAGGGTTCGCTCCCGCGCAGTGAGCTCCTGCATGGCTTTCAGCAGGATCTGCTCAAACTCTTCCCTGAGAGGGATCTGGTCGGGACCTACAATTGAAGAGAATTACAGCGAGAAGGGAGAAATTGCACAGTGCCTCACATCCAAAATTTCCTCTAAACCCACTACACTCCAACCAGCAAGTCCGTGCTTTTATCTTGCAGAGGTCCTAATTCACAGCTCATACAATTAGGAAACTCCCTTTTCACCTCTCTCTGGCCTCAGCTTTTAGAATTTAGGCTCTGTTCCCCTATCCTCTAATGATGTTCTTTTTCAAGGAGGATAAGCTAAGGTGAGAGACTGATTCTGTTGCATGTCCTGGGAGGCGATCACTTTCCAACCTTGGAATTATAGATTCTGCTAATGACTAATAAAATGAGTCAACACATCGGTGTATGATCAATTTTAGGTTCCATTCATTTTTTATGCATAGATACTTAAAATATTTTAATGTATTGTCTTCACCTAATTTGACATTATTCATAAGAAAATGAATTATTTTTCCCAGTTTACATGCTACACAGCCTCCAACACTCCTGTCATCTCCTTCTCCTCCTGTCCTCGGGATTGTTAACTATGACATCTGGCCCCTCTCCCCAGCCATAGCTAAGCTAAGTTCACACTGATGACCTGTGGCCCTGTAATTAGAGGGATTTTGTTTCTTACTGTCTTTAGAAACTTAACCAGTCTTTAGAACAAAATCAGAAGGCATTCAAGTGGCACAAATTAAGATTTCTACCTTTAGTAGAAATTAAAACCTAGGGGATATAGTGACTTGTTCTGCTTTTTTCCCTGGTGTGAATCAAGACTTGAAACTCAAGGGTTCCTGTCAGCCGGGGCCAACTCTTCATTGTCTGTGATCTGAGGCTGATCACAGAAGTGAGGGTCTAGAAGGGCTCCGCCTAGAAGGCAGCTCAGAGTCAGGAGCTATTCCTCCCTCTGAGGACAGTTAAGTGGCCTTCTAGCCCTGCTCATCTTTTTTGGAAAGTAAGAACATAAGGGGCTTAATTATTATTTTTAAAAGACAAGTGAGATTATACAAAATAAATAAAATAGAACACACTCCAAAAAATAAGTACTTTATATTGGAGAAGCCACTTTTCCAGGACTGGTTGAGGGTCAGGGAGAATGGAAACCTCATAGATAGCTGATTGTTTTCTGTACACAGAAACAAGAAAACAGTAATGCTTACATCAAATTTGTTTCTGGAGCTAGAGTAATAGCCTGGCACATGAGTGAGGCTCTGGATTTGATCCCAGGACACCACCCACCCAGCCTAAAACATTGGTTTCTCACGTCCTTCCCAGCCCTACCCCTTGCTAGGCAGCAGTGAACAGTAGGGTTTTTGACTTTGTTTTTAAATCAGTTGGGAGTCATTCAGCCTCCAATCTTCATTCAGCTTTAACAAATTAGAATCATGGTTTGTAGCCGCCACAAGTGGCTGAATTTGTACCACGAAATGAAGAGAAGGTGGTCATTTTTTATAACTTTCCTCTGTCGGAGCACATGACAAATGGGAAGCAGGTGGCCTGTCTCTGTTTCCTAGTGTCTTCCATGAAAACCTGAAAGGTTCAGTGGCCCTGTTAACAGTTGTGAGAGAATCCAGGGCAGACCAGGTGCTGGCAACACATTCTCTTGGGATATATAAAGTGGTATAGCATGTTCCAAGAATTCTTTTTTTTTTAACATTTATTTATTATGTATACAGTATTCTGTCTACATGCATGCCTAAAGAGGGCACCAGGCCTCATTACAGATGGTTGTGAGCCATGTGGTTGCTGGGAATTGAACTCTGGACCTTTGGAAGAGCAGGCAATGCTCTTAACCACTGAGCCATCTCTCCAGCCCCCCAAGAATTCTTTATAATCTTAAAACTCGTTTGTAAAGTTTTGATCAAATTACTGTTAAGAAACAAAAAGTGGAGGGACCATGTGCTTAGGTTCAGAAAGGAGATCTTTTAGGAGAACACATGGTCCCCACTTCTCCATCTCTGCACTCAGGTTCAGACAGGAGAAGATCTCTTAGGAGAACGCATGGTCCCACTTCTCCATCTCTATCACTCTCAGTTCTGGCTGGATTGTAGGAGCCCAGTAAAGGTGACTTTTCCTTTGAGAGCTATCTCCCTCAGTATCAGCTCTGACGGCTTTTCAGATGGAGCCACCACAGTAGGAAAGGACCTGTCTCCAGCAGACCTGGAGCCACCTGGACTTGCTGATTCCATTATTTACTTCAAAAGGTTTTTCAGTTTGTGAAATAACAGAAAAAATGTTAAGTGGCTATTGTAGAAAGTCCCTTTCTTTCCGAAGACTCTTGCTTTTCTCTTTCCCTGTCAATGTTCAGAGAAACAAAGTATTAAAACTGGATAACTTTAAAAAATGTCTATAATCTATGCATATGTGAAAATATTCTTGTTGCTTCTCAAAATTAGAGGGACAGAACAATTTTTAAAAGCATAACAGAACAACTTGTTGGGGGACAGCGAAGTTCCCACACACGCCTAGCTGAAAGGAGGGAGAAGGACAGAGGGGGGAGTAGAAGGAGGGATGGGGAGGGAGAGAGGAATGAGCTATTTATGCTATATACTAACAGACCCAATGCATGAAAGTAAAATTCTGGAGAGAAGTGATCCTGAAGAGCAGAAAAGAATCTTGTTTAAATCAGAAATGTCTAAGTTAAGAGATTTTTAATAATTTGAAAGAAGATATTTTATTTTTGTCATATGGTTTATTTAATTAAATAGGACCCTGGTTTTCTTGGAAGGTTATTAAGGTTGAAAAGAAAAGACAGAATTTCAGCCTGCTTGTCTTACAGAAAGCACAGCACTTTGAAGTTCTGTTCTCACTGGTTCTGGAGGCATCTTTCAGATCTCAGAAGACAGTCCACAGTCCAAAGTAGGGAGATTTAAATTTATGACCCCAAAGGAGCCAGAACTAGGTGATTTTTATAATTGTTTTACTTACCAACAAGAACAGTTTTCAAGTTACAGGCTTATTATAAAAGCAGATTCCATGGAAAATGTGGCTTAAAAACCTCTGTCAGGGTGGAACCCATATAGGGGTGGAGCCTCCTGGGAAATACTCCTTGCCAATGCTGTTACATGACACTGGAAAGGCTGTATCTGTCTTGCTGAAAATTTTGCTTTTTAAATACTATCCCAGTATTTTCGTGGTTTCTTAACACTGCAGTACTTTGTAACATTAAAAAAAACTCATAAGAACATATAAAAATGTTTGTATGAAAATTTGCATCTCAAACATTTTCCTAAGCAAATCAACGGCGTGAAATCCCAGAGAGAATATAATTAGGCTGCATATTTGAAGGCTCACTGAAGTTTGCAAAATAAAGGGCATTTCAATGTAAACGCTCTTCAGCCACCAGTTTTCTGCAGGGCTCACCTAGGTTCAGAGGTTCATGACCTTTCCTAAGGCCTGCCTGCCGAAAGGGTTAGGGCGCATCTTGAGACTCGACAGTAGGGGGAGCAATTTGTTTATTTTATGACAAGCGTGGAGAAAAGGGAAAGGCAAAGCTATAGAGAGGGAAGGAAAATGTCAGAAGACTGGAAAGATGAGCCAGGCAGGCAGAGGAATTGAAAAGGACACAATACATTCCAAGAAAAGCAAACAAACAGACAATTTCAAAGGTTCCTAGTCCATGATTGTGGAGAACAACTTACCTAACCGTACAAGGTACTGTATAGTCAGAAGGATCATGCTTTCCACACTCAGGAGCTGGGTGCTAGCCAACCCCAACTGCTCCAGATCCTTGTTTTCCAGCTGTGGGATCTTGTAGCAGTTCACCAGCAGAGGACTCACAACAATGTCACCAACATTTCCATAGAAATAAGGTAAAGCGCCACAGCCTGCCCCAGAAGAAGCACATCAGTGAGCACTGCGAGACTCAGGGATGCTCAGAAACCCTCTGCCCTCCAAGAAGGCCACCTTAGGGAATTCACCTGCATGTTACACATTCTATAGAAACTGAGGGGCCACTCCAGTTACATCCCGTTTTTCCACAGAAGGTTACTGTGAACACTACAGAGGATTTATGAGATGATAAATAGTTCCTGACCAACTTTCTTTTCAGATGAGAAAACAAATACGACAACATTTCACTTTGCCAGTTTTCTGGGAGATGGGGGAAGTTAAGCCAAGCTTAATCAGTGTTCTGCTAACGAGCAACAAACACTTACAGATCTCCTACTTATTTTTTCTACATTAGTGTTTGGCTTTTTTTTCAGATTTTTATGTGGATGAATATTTTGCCTGCATGTATGTCTGTGCACCGTGTGTGTCTGGTGTCCACAGAGTTCAGAAAAGGGTGTTAGATCCCCTGAAATGATAGCTAAGGATGGTACTGGGAACTGATCGTGGGTTCCCTACAAAAGCAGCAAGTGCTTTCAACAACTTGCCTATCACTTTAGCCCCTATATTGATGGTTTTTTTTTAATTAGTTTTTTCTGAATGCCAGGGGATTCTTCAAAGTACCTTATATAGAAGAGAAATCCATTGAGAAGTTACCCTGCTTTGGTGGTGCAGTAAAGAGAGGTACCCCTCTCTGTAAGACTTTCTTTCGAGTCAGGGTCCCACTAAGTAGCTCTAGATAGAACTCAGTATTAGCCTTGAACTCACAGGGACCTCCCATGTTGGGACTAAGGGCATGTGCCACCACACCTGGCATCGGTGAGACTTTCTAAAAGTCAAGTGTCAAAGGAACAAAGGGCCCACATTCCTCATCTTTCTAAGGCTTAGCTGCTTCATGGGGATGCTAAGAACCTCCCCAGCCAAATGGAATTTAAACACTGGGATTCCCTCAATACTTCCAGTCCCAGGATCAGTGGATAGGGTGACCTGATAAAGCTTGAAGTAAAACACCCAAGTCAACAGAGTCAGGCCAGCAAAGGAGGAGATAACGACTCATGGTAAGGCACCTTGCCTGCTTTATCATGGAAAGAAAACAGGCAGTCTCCTCTGGTCTAGACCTGCCTGCCTACGAGGCCTTCAGATATGGGTTAGAGAATGTATGAGTTGGAATCCTAGAATTTGGACTCCAAAACAACCTTCTACTTTCACTGACAGGCAGCAGCGGGGGTGGGGGTGGGGGAATGGCTCTGCAAAGATGCTGACTCACACAGACAGATGCCCCAGGGCGAGCCTGGTGTTCCAACATGAGGCCTGTCAGTTGACTTTGTTTCTTTGCTTTGAGATTTGGCCCTTTCCTCAGTCTGTCTACTTTGAGCAGACTTTGGCATACAGCTCAAGTCTCAGGGTCTGAAGGTTTTCTAAGATCCTTCCAGACAGAGGTAAACCCCTTCTTCTAAGACTTCCTGAAGCTGTTGGCTGTGAAGTTCTACCTGCTCTCATAGTTCAATGGGTCAGGATGTTATCCTCGTGTAGAACTGTTGTTTCCTGACTCCCCACTGCACAAAGACTCTCGAAGGAAAGAGTGTTATTCTCAGCTTCAAACCAGATGCTTAATACTCATGAAGGGACTGGCCAATGAAAGCTGATACAATCAATAAAGACAAATACACATACTCATGGGTGTGTGAATGAACCCACAGACCAGGGGTGGAGACATAGGAGTCTAGACGATGAAATTCTTCTACCTTACCTATCAGGATCACTGGTCTAACTCCTGAGTTACTCAGCAGGTTTTCAGGAATAATCACAGTTTCCCCTGCAGGGACAGGCCGAGGCTGGAGAATTCCAGTTAACGGGGTCTGTGGAACTGGGGTAGATAAGAGGGGCTCTGAAAAGAAAAAGTTGTTTGACAAGAAAGATTAAGCTTGGGGGCTAACTGGAAAACTTCAGAAGCCAATGCAGTTTTAATACTTTAGAAATTTTAGAACTCTAATAGTTTATTGTATGTCGTTTCTTTTTCACTTAGATACATATTACAGAAAATTAGAAGAAAATCAGAGGTAAGAAAACAAATCAGTCACAATCATTTCACTGTGGATAAAATTAAAATACAGAGAAGTTTGTCCTGTCTTGGAAATGGGATCTGGAACAAAGGACAGACAGATGGACTGAATAGCCAGTCGTGCCGCTAACTGCTATTGTCTTCATAGCTAAGTCAGCATCCAGATTTTTTTTTTTTTGAGAAAGGATTTCTCTGTGTATCTCTCTACTTCCCAAGTGCTGGGATTAAAGGTGTGTACCACACACTGCCAGACACTTTTTAAAAAAGATGTCCAGTGTTCTGCCTACATGCCAGAGGACACCAGATCTCATAAATGACCACTGGTGGCTTCTTCTAAGCAATCTTTTGGATTTGGCTGTGCAATTTATATTTACCATGCCCTAGTGACCAAAGGTGTGGTTTTCCATTACATAAAGCTGAAAATAGAAACACATGACAGAGATGCTCATCATTAATTATCTCTACCTGGAAGCAACTGTGGTAACATATTGCCGTAGTTCTTTGCATATGTGAGATTTTTATCAGTCTTTAAAATTATTTAAGCAAATTAAAATATGTAAAGGATCAAAGTAGCACTTGCTACTGTCTACTTAGAAGACAAATGTTTGAACACTTAACTGTGGACACCTTTGGACACGGTCTGGTTAGTATGAAGTAGAGGCAGGTAACTCTGTATTATAGGTATAGACTAAACCATGAAGCCAAAGTAATCAAGACATATCATACAGAGAACAAATCCTAGAAGGTCAACTCTCACACCACTGCTGACAAAGCAAGTCCAAATGTGCCCGTGGTGGTGACGTTGTTTGCATCAGACCCTATACAGCAAATGACTTACCAATGTCAAGGCTAAAACTAAGAGCAGCTGTGATAGTACATGAACTTATAGAGAAGGACTATGTTATGGAGACAAAATATTAATTACTATCAATACCCTTACATAATACTACTAGTCACAATAATTGATTGAGGGCATTTACCTTCAAATGATAAGAGCAGGAACAGAACTTATCTCTGCTAATAAAAGAGAAACATTTAAATATATCTTCAGTTAAAATCTCACCAGTTCTTGAAAGAGGGCGAACTGTGGGAACAGGCACAACTAGAGCAGGTTGGGAGACAGGTGACCCGGGATACCATCCCCGGTGTCGTTTCTTTGGTGGGCCAGAAATGAACATATTAGCTGAAAACAAAAAGGAAACACAGTTTTGTCTGCAGCAATGGAGAAGAAAGAAAGAACAGCAAGGGATCATAGGGCCTTTGCTTTGATCTGCTAAGAGGGCCCAAGTCACTGTCCTATGGGCAATGGTAGAGTTGAAAAAAGTCACACTAACAATTCAACACCACACTAATAATTGCAACCATGTGCTGTTTTACACGCTACAATTTATACAGATTATTTGATTCTCTTGACATCTCTGTTAAGTTATGGGACAAATCTACTTGGTAAATGAGGAAAAAAGTATCTTGTACAAATCTTTTCAAATAGAGTTTTGTGCTTTGGTAAGTAAAAGATGTGAGTTTTTAAGGTTCTTCACTATAATTTTGATTAAAGACTTATTTCCCAGTTAGTTTTAACCACGTAGAATCACCAAGACATTTAACAGTTAATGTTCACATCAATCATAAAATTTCAAAATGTTGTGTTTTAAGCAAGGGGAAGGCTCTACAATGTGTGTTTGGATAATTAATTGTTGAAATATCTGTAGCTCTGGGATCTCGGGATGCTTTAGTTGATAAAGTGCCACACACACGTGAGAACCTGAGAATAATCTTCAGAATCAATGTAAAAGAAAAAAGCCAAGCACAAAGGTGCATGCCTCAAAATCAATGCTGTGCCAACCGGAGGATCCTGGGGATCACTGAATAGCCAGTCTACTGAATCTGTGGACTCTGAGCTCAGCCAGAGACCCTGCCTTGGAGTTCAATGTGGAGAGTTACAGGGGAGGCAGTCAATGTAGACTTTCAGTCTACACTCACTTGTAAATAAGTACACAGCCCCCTTCTCTCTCTCTTTCTCTCTCTCCTCTTGTCCTCCTCTCTCCCCTCTCTCCCCTTCTCTCCCTCTCCCCTCTCTCTCTATCTCTCTCTCCTCTCTCTTCCTCTTTCTATCCCCTATGTCTCACTTCTCTCTCTCCCCTCTCGTCTCTCGTCTCTCGTCTCTCCCTCTTCTCTCTCCCCTCTCTCCTTCTTCTCTCTCTCTCCCTCTCCCTCTCTCTCTCTCTCTCTCTCTCTCTCTCTCTCTCTCTCTCTCTCACACACACACACACACACACACACACACTCAGAGTACCTTGGTCTATGGATGTGTAGGTAGGTCTTGGTGACAAAGAGTAGTTCCCCGAGCGGGATGGCATGGAACTGGATGTGCCACTCTTCCCTCCATGGCTAGTGGTACCATTGGCTGCTTCTGTAGAACAGAAAAACAGCTCTTCAGAACAGAGGTTTGGAGGATACTGTGAAGCAGCAGACATCTGGTAAACCTCACACTTGAGGATTCATGGAAACTTCACAGACAGGACTCAGCCTAGTTGCATAAAACCAACTACAATTGTTAGAACAATCAGCTTCATTAAACTTAACTGTCAGATAAGAAAATGACTGGAATAAATTAAAAAACTAGATATAACCAAAAATAATTTCCTGGGACCCTGAGAAATCTTTTAGAATTTTTTTTGAAGAAGTCTTTGGAGATAGTAGGTAAATATGAGGGAAAACTTAATAGAATTTTAACTCTACTTCATGGAAAGTTTCAAACATACAAAAGGAGAGAGAACGGTACAATGCACATGTGTACACTCCCTGCCCAGGCCAGCATTTGCCTCACGCAGCCCCCCATCTTGTTCATCGCACCCCGACCTGGTTCCCGGCACAGATGCACAGTGCTCTGCTTAGTCAGAAGCAACCGAGCCATCTATAATCTCATTGATAAGTACTTCTATAGATATTGTTAAAAGATCCTTTAAAATAAATTTGCAATAAAATTATTATACTTAAAAACAATAGTGATTGGGCTGGAGAGATGGCTCAGAGGTTAAGAGCACTGACTGCTCTTCCAGAGGTCCTGAGTTCAATTCCCAGCAACCACATGGTGGCTCACAGCCATCTATAATGAGATCTGGCGCCCTCTTCTGGCATGCAAGCATACATGGAAGGAATGGTGTATACATAATAAATAAATCTTTAAAAAAAACAATAGTGATTAATAATTTACTATAATCAAATATTCCACCAGTATTCTAAACTTTCTCAGTTACCTCAGAAATAGTTTAAAGAAATTCAAAAGAGAACTTTATGTTTGAATTTAGGTGACATATACTTTAGGCTTTTAAAAAAATACAAGATTAACTTTTATTATTTTTAATTTGTGTGTGTGTGCGTGTCCCTGCATGTACTACATATATTCAAAGAGAGACTGGATACCCTGGAGCTGAAGTTTCAGGCAGTTGTGAGCTAGCTGCTGTGGGCACTGGGAACTGAACTCAGGTCCTCTGACAGAGACCATTGCCGCTCTCGTGCACAGAGAGCGTCTCTCCCGTTGCCTTAGATTTCATAGTCTAAGGGATTTCTTATTTATTTATTTATTTATTTATTATGTATACAATAATATACAGAAGAGGGCACCCAGAAGAGGGCACCAGACCCCATTACAGAAGGTTGTGAGCCACCATGTGGTTGCTGGGAATTGAACTCAGGACCTTTGGAAGAGCAGGCAATGCTCTTAACCTCAGAGCCATCTCTCCAGCCCCTAAAGGGATTTCTTTTCTTTCAATCAAATACTTCTTGGGATTGTTTTTCTCCTGAAAAGTCTTGAAGAAGTTGCTGACTCAATGTTCCTAGTATCACTGAAACACCCACGTGTCCACTGTATTTCCAATAAACTAACTGTTAGAGGCCTAGTCAAATTCATATTCATTTTGTTTTTTGCAAAAGAATCTCAGAGGCAGCTGTAAATGTCAACCAGGAAGCAAAAAGTGGACAGTTTTTCTCTCTTTTGAGGATTTTAGGAACAATTTGCAGGGCTTCAGAATTTGTCAGCCTAACTCTTTTTTTTTTTATTAAAGTTTCAATTTTAGGGTCCAGGTGCGGTGGCACTTGCTTTTAATCCCAGTGCTCAGGAGGCAGAGGCCGGTGGGTCTCTGAGTTTGAGACCAGCCTGGTCTACAAAGTGAGTTCTAGGACAGTCAGGACTGCTACACAGAGAAACCATATCTCAAAATAAAAATAAGTAAACAAATAAATTTTCATTTTCATTTTTAATTATGTGTGTCTATGTGTGGGCTTGTGCATATGCATGTGGGAACCACAGAGTCTAGAAGAAGCCATCAGATTCCCTGTATTGGAATTATAGGCACTTGTGAGTTGCCTGAGGTAGGTACTGGGAACCAAACTCCCATCCCTTGCCAGAAGCACCATGCATTCTTTTTGTTAGTTTATTTGTTTGTTTTTTAAGACAAGGTTTTTCTGTGTATTCTGGTTGTCCTGAAACTAGCTCAGTGGAGCAGGCTGGTCTCAAACTCATGGACATTCACCTTTCTCTGCCTCCTGAGTGTTGGAGTAAAGGTGTGTGCCAACACTGCCTGACTAGCAGCGTGCATTTTTAACTGCTGAGCATAATTATTGCATTATGGAGTCAACTGGATGATCTTAGTAACTACCTTGATTACTGATCTATCACTTCAGCAATTTTTTTCACCATATTGAAAAACTATATTGAAAACTTGACTTTAGTTTTTTCATATCTAAAATCTAACTAGGAGGTAAATACTGCAAGAGTTGCTGAGCTGGAGTAAAAATCAGGCGGGTTCTGTAAACAGTTGCGTCTAACTTTTGGAACATGTCCCAAAATGACTGGGTTTCTGTTTTACCAATTCTTCTCGTTAAGCTCTGGATTTTTCTAGGATTCCATCCTTCATTCATAGCCTGCCTCATCACATGACTTCCAGGGCTGATATTAGCCTTGATGGTTTCATGACATATTGGTAACACCCTCAAGGCACATGGCTTTAATCCCAGCACTCAGGAGGCAGAAGCAGGCGGATTTCTGTGAGTTTGAGGCCAACCTGGTCTACATAGCAAGTTCCAGGACAGGATCCAAAGATACACAGAGAAACTCTGTCTTGAAAAGCAAGCAAGTAAGCAAATAAACAAAAGAAAAAAGAAAAAGACAAAGGGGGAAAAAAAAAGAAAAAAGATCTTTTTGTAAGTCTATCACCTTCACTGGATTATGAGACATTTGGGGTCAGGCATTTTTTTTTTTTTATAATCTCAGGTGCTAGTTACAGCAGGAGTGCAAGAAATGTTTGTTGAACAAAATCAAACTCTAGTCTTCTGTGCACGAAATGTCATTTTGACCCTTCCGGTTGGCACACAGAGCGAGCAAAGCTTTGTTCAATATTGCGTTATTCTAGGCAGTTCCATGGCTATCTTTGACTGGCAGGTAGAAGGAGTGTTGGAGTGTTTCCTTTGTCAATTAAAGTTCACAGAACTCATTTGGTATTTGCCAAAAAAAAAAAAAAGTAGTAAGGAAGGAAAACATCACCTGCAGCAAAACTCTTTCCTACAACCTGCAAAGATAAAGGCAGTGGTTTCACAATATTCTTATTCCGGGTCAGGTCCTGAGCGCCACTTAAATTGATTGCAGAATTAGCTCGACTGAGAGCCGGCGAATCTTTAAAATGAGAGAGGTTGTTTAAATTAGCAAGCATTTACATATGCAGGAAAAAGTTAGTTTGGCATGGGTGAGCTGAGGAAAGCAAGAGGGAGGGTTTAGCTTCTTCTTGGAACTATTGAGATGCTTTAAAAAGGTCAATTTCTATGAATTCAGGTTTATTTATTTTCTACTTAACAAACATGTACTAGGTGTTAGGTGCTACTGTAAGTACTTCAAATATATTAATTCACTTGATCCATGTAATTCATTAGGTCATAGTAGCTGGTCAAACTCAGACGATCCGTCATTGGGTCCATATCTGTGTTCCATATCTAAATTATGTTCATGATTCCTTCAAAAACACATTTTAATGAGATGTATCCATCTCTGTACAGATAAATTTTTTTCTGTGTGTCCATGCTTGTATGCAGTCATATGCATATGAATATATATGTGAATAAGCATATGCATGTGCACATGTATGCATGTATGTGTGGAGGAAAGAAGTCATGTCAGGTATCTTCCTCAATTGCTGTATACTCTAGTTTTTGAGACAGGGTTTCACTGATCCTGGAGCTAATTCATTTGGCAAAACTGGCCACCTAGTGAGCCTCACAGGGGTGCTCCTGGGTACGATTTCCCAACACTGGATTCACAAGTGCTATGATGTTTGCCTGTAATCCAAGCATGTGTGAGGGTGACACACAAGAATTGCTAATTCAAGGTCAGCCCATCTATCCCAATAGATGGTAACTTAAAAAAAATGGGTGGGCCTCCCTGCTGCCTACCTCAGTATCAGAAAGTGCTGAGCCAGCTGTTGAGGGAGAAAAGCCATCAGTCATTTCACCCAGCAGAGGACCCTGAGAGTCACGGTGATGACCAGCATGATGGGAAACGCCATGGGTGCAATAGCAATGTGGATGTAAGGCCCACTACACACACAGGAACTGCATGGTACTGCCAACCTGACAGAGACCCATGGCTAGGGAGCTCATAGGCCCTAAGGGGGAACTTACTAGGATTATTGGTAAATGGGCATAGAATCAAAATGCCCTGGACATTTGCATCGCTCTGCTCATAGACCAGTGGAGCTCTCAGTCCTCATCAAAGACCCCTCGGTGACACAGAAACTCACAACTGGTCAAAGCAGAGAAAGTCTGTGGAGTAGTCAGTCAGAATGGACTCTCCAGGAAGAAAAAGGGGGATATCATGGGAGAAGGGATGGGAAAACTATAGGGGCCAGAGGCTTAGGCAGGTCTGGGTGTCTCCTGGATATGGCAAAACTTGAACTCACAGCAGCTGCAGCCACATCGGGCTAAAATCATCACAAATGGGGAGGGAGTTCATGAACTCCCACCCCTAGCTGAGAAACTATAGGTAGTTGATGTCTGCTAGGGAGGAGAGTCAGTTTTCTTTAAGGGTGTGGTCGCTGGTAGGTCTGCCATACTATGGAGGACAGCCATGAGTATATGGGCAGAGCAAATTGGACTGAGTGGGTTTTTTAAGAGAAAAAAATTAGCTGGGCAAATTAGGAGGCAAAGACAGGCAGATCTCTGTGAGTTTGAGACCAGCCTGGTCTACAAGAGCTAGATCCAGGACAGGCTCCAAAGCTACAGAGAAACCCTATCTCAAAAAACAAAACAAAACAAACAAACAAACAAACAAAAAACCAAAAAAAAAGAAAGAAAAAAAAAAAGAGAGAGAGAGAGAAATTAAAGGAGGCTGTGATGTTGGGAGGATTGTACCCAAAGGCGGGTAAGAGGAAGAGTAAGGGATGAATGTGATCAAAATGTATTATGTGCACATAATAAATCCTCAAAGAATCAATGAAATTATGATATGATATTTTAAAAGGGTGTTGGTGCAGGGGGATGGCTCAGTAGATACAGTGGACAATGACAAACATGAAGACCTGGGTTCAGATCTCTAGCACTCATGCAAAAAGCTGAACTTGTTGGCATGCACACAATAAAATACAGTAAACTATTATAAAGTATGTAGTATCTAAATTTGTTGATTATACTTAGTATGTTCATTCAGTATTAAATCGTATTTATAAAAGTATTAAAATTATAACAATAAATATACAAAAGAAGTAAAAATGTATACTATGAAATATTAAAGAAAACTAAATAGTTAGGCAGTGGTGGTGCACGCTTTTAATCCCAGCACTTGGGAGGCAAAGGTAGGCAGATCTCTGAGTTAGAGTACAGCCTGATATATGGAGTGAGCTCCAGAATAGCCAGGGTTACACAGAGAAACTCTGTCTCAAAAACAAACAAACAAACAAACAAACAAAAAACCCAACAAAAACAAAAAGCAAAAACAACAACAAAAAAGCCCCCCCCCAAGCTAGTAAATGAAGAGATCCGAAGAGCTCATGACCCACATGACTTAGTAATGATAAGATCGCACTACTGCCAAGTGTTCTGGAAGTTTCCAGCAAGCTGCACCGATATTCCAACCTGCTTCTTCCTAGAAATTAGCTAGCCAACCCTAACATTCACACGGAAACACAAGAGACTCAAGGAAACAAAAATAATTTATAAACAGATTGCAAAGCTGGAGAACCTAACTTTTCTCGTGTCAGAACCTCCTAACTATGTACATCACATACTGTACTGTCACAGGATGCACATATATAAGAAAATTCCATTTAAAGTCTTCATATAAACTATTTGATTTTATGATTAATTGAATGTTGACAAGAGTACTAAAAAATTCACTGGATAAGAAAACAATTTTTTTCAACCATTAGTTTGGGGATAACTGCGTAGTCCTATATAATGGTCCTCAACGGACACATCACACACAAAAATTAACTTAAAATGGATTTAAATGTAATAGCTAGGATCTCTGTGAGTTGTAGGCCTACTAGCACGACATAGTGAGGCTCTGTCTCTAAAAATATATAATAGCTAAATGTAATAGCTAAAGCTAGGATGTGTCACAAAATACAGAAGTGATGCTCTTGACCTTGAATTAGGTAATGTTTCTTAGGTATGAGCCAAGACCATAAGTGACAAAAGAAAACAGAAATGAGTTGGATTTCATCAAACAGAAAAAACTGTGCTCCAAAGCACATAATTATAAGAGCTACGTGTGATGGTGCACACCTTGGTGGGAGGGGATAGCTGTAGAATGGGAGAAAACCTTTGCAAAAGATTTATGCCTCCAAATATATAAAGTCATCATCAATCTATAAAACATAAACAGCCAGCAAAAAATTGGCCAAATGAATTATATAAGCATTTCTTAACACACACACACACAGAGTCAAAAAGCATGTGAAAAACAGTTAAACTAGGCTGTGGTGGTGCATGCCTTTAATTCCAGCACTCAGGAGACAGAGGCAGGTGGATCCCTGTGTTTGAGACCAGTCAGTTCTAGGACACAGAGAAACCCTGCCTTGAAAAAACAATAAACAAAACCAAAACAAAACCAGAAAAAACAAGACTGCTGAACATAATTCGAAACTAGAGGAATGCAAATCAAAACTACAATGAGAATTGCTCCATCTGAGAACACTTGGATACAGTAATAAAGGTGAAGGAAGCAGCTCCAACTCAACACTGGACTCCTTGCTTGTCGAAGTACAAAGGGGGCAGCCTTGCTGACAAATGGTTCCTCCACTCCTCCATTAACGTATGACCCAGAACTCCCCCAGGCGTGAAATGAAAGAGAAATGAAAACACATGTCTAAGAAACTGCACATGAATATTCACACAGAATTATCTTCATTTTATTGGTTGACTGATTGCTGGCTGAGAATTTAACATGCTGCCATAAAATCCTCCTGTGAAGCCCACTGATATTCCCATAAGTCTCCATGTTAACATAAATACCCACTAACTGATAAATGGATAAACAAATTTCAGACAACAGAATATTGTTTATCGGGGAAGGAACAGATCATCATCAAATGCTACAAATGAGTCAAATGAAAGACAATTGGTAAATGTCAATAAAATGCCCTAAGTATAGAACCAGCAGAAACAGAAAGTAGACTTGGGGCTCCTCGTGGGTGAGGAGGGGTTAAGTAAGGATTGTGAGGGTTCTTTTTGGGGTGCTGAGATACTCTACTGGGCACTGAGGCAGGAGGACCAAGAGTTTCCCGAGCTTTATCTGAGATCATGTAAGGGATAGCATGGCCAGTAGAATCCGGAGAGAACATAGCTACTGCTTGTTGTCCTGGTCTCACTGCTCCGCCTCTCATGTCAGCAGGCCTCCCAGTGGACTGTGCCCTGTGAACTCGCTCTCTTGGAGAAAGACATCTACAAGTTCACATCTGGTTTTTCTGGCTTTTTGTGTCTGGGCCTTCTTCAAGGCCAACAAGGGCTCTGAATCCTGTAAAGCAGTCCAGAACTGTGAGGGAGTGTAATGCTTCAGAGGCAGTCCTGAACCAGTTAACTGCGTCCGTGAACAGAGCTCCGAGGGGCCTCCCATCTTTAGAAGACAATTCTGGAAGGCCTTCTACATGTTTCTTAATGAATCTGATAGACCTGGACCTTCCTGGGTCCTAACAATCACAGAGAAAACACACTCTTACACTGGCTTACTCCTGTTTCCAGGGATCACTTCCCAAATAAAATATAACACGCATGGTCTTATCTTAGGCTCTGACTTTGTTAGGATCCAAACCATATCAACAATTTTAAAAAAGGAAAAGGCAAAAAATACAGACTTTATACAAAAGTTAAATAGCATAAGTGAGTCAATGTCAGGAATAAGGGAAATGTCAGAACCACACTCAGATATCAGTGTTCCTATCAGAGTGACACAAATTTAAAGATTTTCATAATTAATTCCTTTAGCACATACAAACTGCCATGCTGCACAGTTCAGTCTCCCTGGAAACTGGATCAATAGATAAGTACATATTTATCCCAGCTATTTCTGGACACTGACAGAGAAGTAAGAAATGACGTTTGATGTTACTCACTGATGAATTTTTAGAAAACAGTGTAAACCCCTCCAGTACTGGGTCAGGCTAAACAATCACAGTACATCTGGGAAGC